CATCACCACGTGTTTCATCAATTTCCTCGGAGGCTGAGTTAGGTTAAGTTAGGTTAGGTTAAGAAAGGAATTGTTACGTTTAGTTAGATTAGGTTAGGATAGGTTAGATTAGGTTCGGATAGGTTTGATTAGGTTAGGATAGGTAAAGAAATTTAAATAGTTTGCTTCAGTAGTGATAATGGTAGTGGGTGGTAGTGATGGTAGCAGTGTTGGTGGTAGGTCCTGAGTAGTGGTAGTGGGTGGGGAGGGACGCCGCCCACCACACCCACGCCAGAAATACACAGACCAAGGCGAGGCGGGAGGCTATCTGAAGCAGTGGCCTCAACACATACTAGAGAGAGAGAGAACATTGGTTTACACTTAAAGAATACAATATCGTTTTTCTTTACTCTTTCTTGCAGTGTGTGTGTGTGTGTATGTGTGTGTGTGTGTGTGCAAGAGTGGGGTAGGAGAAATTTATACTGAGACAAGGGGAGGAGGAGGAGGAAGTGAAGGAGTAAAGGTGGAAGAAGGAATGACAGAGGAGGAGAAGTGTAATGTCACCTACCATGTAAAGTCAGCCAAGGCGTATAGGTCAATTACAGTGTTAGCAAGTACAGTACGTAGGCGGAGATGAATGCCAGTGCTGGAAAAAGGCTGGCGAACAATTTGTATGCCGGTAGCTCCCATACAGTCATTGGTGAGTAGACGGAGACGCCAGGCGATACTGAATTCTCGCACTGGCACTATTTTTAGATTAGGGTCTAAACTTCCGCTACAAGGATGGCCACTGGAGGTAGGAGGGAGGAACGCCAGGCACTGTTTATCGTTCGTGTTGGCGCTGAGGGTCGTGCTTGACATTTAGGGAGGTGGGGAGGGAGACGGGGAGAGGGGGAGGGAGGGGGAGGGAGGGTGGGAGGGGAGAGAGTGGAGGGAGGGCTGTGGGAGAGGAAGAGGAGGAATGGGAGATACCATATATCAACCATACACCACCACCACACACCATCACTCCAACACACCACCACCACCACCAGTCCACCACACACCACAAAAAACATCACCACATATATGGTCTTTACCACACACGCAGTTTTTGCCACAGTTTTCGTCGTTAACTTGGCTTGTGGAGAGGAGAGATAATTATACTATTACTGAGAGAAGACGGGGTGCGGGTAGCACACTCACTACTGACTTTATAAATTACTGTAAACATATTTAATTGGTTATACTTCTTAATACCGACTGACATACATACACGCGTGGATGCTGACCAAAATGTATACACTGATTAGCATGTGTTTGGTGAATAATCTCTCTCTCTCTCTCTCTCTCTCTCTCTCTCTCTCTCACACACACACACATTCCACCCCTTGATCACACACACACCCACACGCACAATATCTCTTTTTTCTCAAACACATCACCCCTCCCTCCCTCCCCCAACCACTACAGTATGTTGGTACATTCCATTATAGGTCACCTTCACTAAGACCAAACTCTCTCTGGCACCCTATGGCCCTGTGTACAGTGCCTTGGTGCCTGAGAGAGAGAGAGAGAGAGAGAGAGAGAGAGAGAGAGAGAGAGAGAGAGAGAGAGTTGAAACATGCTCATTACTGTACATTAACCCCTTTAGTACAATTTGATGTACATACTTCATTTAGTACAAGTTGTCAACATTATAAACACTACGATATAAATTATTTGCCTTAATCACCATCTTATCAGCACCAGGTATGTTAGTCGTGGTGAGGTAAACACATTCTAATACTTCATAGTGAAATAACATTATAGTCTTTATTTATTTCACCTGACGATTAAACAGTTAACGCTAAATTAACCTAACCTATCCTATCCTAACCTATCCTAACCTAACCTAACCCAACCTAACCTAACCTACTAACCTACCGATATGCTTTGAAACTAATAAATTGTTATAATAAACTTGTAGATATTTCAGGTGTTCATTTAATACACACTTGTAAGGTTAGCATTTTAGTCAACTCTTAATTACTTAAATAAATTGTACAATGTAACGATTCTTGATTTCCTTCTTATCATAATTATTGTATATAATTATGGTAGAGGGAGAGAGAGAAGGGGGAAACGGGAGGAGAGAGGAATGACTGAAAAGAAGGAATATGAAGGAAAGAGGGAGTGATAGAGAGACAAAGAATGGAGGAGGGAAGTAAGACAAGAACAATAGTGGTAAGGAGGAGAATAATAAGATATAAATGATTGTGTTAATGTATTTCCATTACCTAAAATTCACCTCAGAAATGAAATTCTATCTGTACTTTTTTGACAAGTTGAATTACAGAGAGCGGAGCAGAATCACCAGTTAAAGCAACCACAATCCAAAGACGTTAGAAAACATGTGAATACTTCGTTAATTTTTCAAGTAAATCTCCTTGAGTATTTTATTGTAGGGCTTTATCAATTTATTTATATTTCTGAATGATATTTTTTCCATTACCTGATCACCAATGTCAGATTTATTTGGTTAAGTGTGTCTTCAACTGATGCCATTAAAGATTTAAAAACAAAAAGATGGTATGATGTTGTTTTCACGTTCTGGGAGACGAATATAAACGTTTTCCTATAGATTCTCTCAACAAAACCGCAGCTTGTTAAGAAAATGTGTGTGTGCCTGTTTGTGTAGCGTCTCCCTTGACCCTCACTATGAACCATCCTGGCCAGACGCGTCTATACATATACTGTTCACTCTAGTACTCAGCTCCCGGAACTTCCTGACACCACCCACCGTCATATTTGGCCCGCAGCTGCTCTAGGATGTCACACACACACACACACACACACACGTGCCAACACACTGCATTTCACTGGATGGAAACAATTGTGAGATCATATATATATTAAATAGTGAGACGTGTGTGTGTGTGTGTTGTGCCGGCAGGGGACCGATGTGATTTTTTGTTCTTGTATGTTTTACTTTAGACTGTTTTTTACTGTGAATGTTGAATATTGCTTTTAGGAAATAATGTCAAACTTGATTCTAGACTAGTATAGAATGCTTAGTCTCATTAATTTTGTCTGAAAGATATAGAACGCCAAATAAAAGTTGATTTGGGTTAATCTGTCGTTGGTGTTTAGTCTTCTTGAGTCCATTTCTAAGCTGCCTTTGATTTTAGTATTGTATTTAAGTTCCAGGAAAGAAAATAAATCAACATATTCAGGTAATGAATTAGCTGATATACAGTAAATCTTACGGGCGCTGCCAATACTCAAGAACATCTAATATACTATAGGACTAGCAGTGTGTCTGTCTGTCTGTTCTGGCCAGCCGAAACGGCACTATCGTTTTTCATCAAACTTGGTGGAAAAATCGCAAAAAAATTCGTAGAGCGGAACAAACCTGGTCCCATGTCGATGGTTTCTTTAGGAAGGCATTAATTAATCATTTTATTTACGATGGAAAACGATGCACGTCTAAGGACTTGGCGCACTCTCATTCGCTGTACGCTAGCAAAGCACGAGGGTTCAAACTTTCACTGGGCACGAAGGTGCCCGCGATCCCTTGTTCATAACGATACAGAGGCCGTTATTGGCCTATAAAAATAAACAACGCTATCATTAGTAAAGATGATGCTCATCAATCATATATACAGTACACCAAGTTTTAATCTATTGTAATAAATATATTTCAAATTTGACATATCATAATTTTATACTATTTTTAATTTAATTTGCAGATATATGAATTAATTTTAAAAATTCACCTATAACCATATAATTGTTTTTTAAAGGAAATAAATAAAATGAGTAATAATATTTACACATCATCAAATTGTAGCTAATTGAACAATGGGAGTTTGAAATCATCATTAGAGAAAACGGCGCTCAACTCTCGCCACGTCCTGGTGAAGGGGAACTTTGATTATGGCGACACCGACTGGCAGAACAATGAAAATACACAGAACGACCTTAATAACCCTACAAATAACATTGTAGAAACTCTGAGAGACAATTTTATTCACCAACATGTCGAAGCTCCGACTCACTTTGGAGGTGAGCAAACAAGCACCCAGACCATAACTAACAAGGATACGGTACTACCCATCAGCTATAATTGTTGCCTGGTACAACACGAGAACACAATATTTGGCATTGTTCTTAATTTACTTTTTTTCAATTAAATATCTGAGTCTTAGGGAGGCAACAGCCCCGGAAAAGGTCTGTTAGCCGGCTTTTGGACGATATTGTTGAATAATGACAAATTTCTGTTTTGTTTTCTTTAGGTGTTTTTCTAATAATAAGGGTTTGTGTCGCACCACCCTATGTTTAGCCCCAGGGAGGGCTATCAAAACCCATCCCCTTCTCTCGTAGAAGGAAGGGGAACGACCAGGCTCATTACATAGAGATGGGGTAGAGACCTTAGTCTTCTTACTGTGTCTCTAGATGAACAAAATGCCTATGACATGGAAATCACGGCAGGAAATTTGTTGTCAAATTTACAAAACCTAACGTAAAGTCGGACACATTTGTCCTTAGAAAGTTGAGTACCCCAAGACAGCGTCCACGATCATGGTTTGTTTTTAATTATAATGAACGATTTTCTATCACCAGCCCCGTGCCGCAAGGAATTAAGATCTCAATGTTTGCTGACGATTGTGCTTTGTGACGTTCTGGCCCTAATGCATAACGAGCGCTGAGGCCCGAGTGCTAGTAACTCTTGACGCCGCTCAGCAGTGGGCAACGGGGTGGGGTTTTAGATTCTTGACAGCTAAAACAATACAGTAGTTGTATTGACCAGAAAAACGACCCCCTTAAGGCCAGCACTTCACTTGTATAATATTCCTATTGTGTTTCATAATTCGGTTGTATTTAGACATTTGGAGATTGTTATGGGGTAAGATAAAAGGGTAGGGGGAAGTGAAGGAATGTAGGAGAGTGATACGATCTAGGCTCAACCAGATATGATGTAGTTTAAAATTGTGAGTTGAGCTAGATAGTGCGTATTTTAAGTTCTAGCTCTCTAAAAGCATGTATGTTTCACCCTACAGGTGCTGATAGAGACAGAAGATGGAGGGGTGCAGGAGCTGGAGATAGTCGCTACCAAGGAGAAACTCGGCACTCTGAGGAAAGCTGTCCCTACTCTACCTGTGCCTCTAGCGGTGCTCTGCCTCGTGTTGAACCTAATTCCTGGCTTAGGTGAGACCCCAGATCTGGCAGTATAGCACACATTCTCACAGACTCACACTGAAGTTCTCTCACACATGCAGATTCTCACACACACAATATCTCTATTTCATATACTCAAACTCGATCACTCACATACTCTGTTATGCATATAGATATTTATCCAGTAACATCTTCAATGTGTATATCTTTTAATAGTCCACCTTACGAGGCTTTCTTTATTTTTTATCATATTCACCACTTATCAGCTTACTAGCCGTTTGGGTTCATCCAGTGTTAGTACAGGAGGAAACCTGTTGTGTGTGGCAGTGAGGGTCACACTGGATAACACCCTCCTCACGTGTGTCCGGACCGAGGCTCTAACTCAGTGGTTCTCAACCTTGTTTGCCCCATGCACCCCTTTCACCATATGTCAGAATGTCATTCCCCCCTCCTTTCCAAGATTGTCTGCCTCAAAAAGTGCATTCCAAATAATATGCATATAATACTGAAAATCCTTTATTTTTTCCATATTAGTATCAGTTTCCCTCCCCCCCCCTGAAAACCTGAGGGGGGAAATTCCCCCCCTGGTTGAGAACCCCTGCTCTAACTCTTCACATATTGGTGAGAATTATGCGCGTTATGGTTGGTTTGTTGTTGGTTCGTGTTATTATTATCAAGTATTTTGTGCCAGTATGAAGATTTTCTTCGTTTTCTCTGACAAGAACTGTCTGACAAAAAACTTTTAAACATTTGGAGGGATAATACTTAGTATCCTTTGGCGGTTTTCCAATTGCTTTCAAACCATGTTTTTTTTTTTCGAATAAGAATTCTTGTTTGGGTTAAGATTCGAGGTGGACATGGCTCTAAGCTGTGTAACAGTATTGTTTTTTGGTAAAAAATCGTTTTCGGTCGAACAAGGAACTTCATATTTCTATTTATATGGGGAAAAGAGCCAAAGAAAAATTATGCATTACGTTTCCGTCACAATTTTATATTTTTTCCAGTATTTTATCAGATATTACCAACAATATTGACTGTTCAAAGTGGACAGGGATTTAATATAGAAGGAAAATGTGGAGTAAAATACTAAAAAGAACACCGAACAAACCCTTGAAAACCTTATCTAATCTTTTCTAACCTACAAAAACCGTTTTCGGTGTTTAGTTTGTGATGGTGGTGATGTTTTCCGCCTTCAGATGAGTATGGCTCCATAAACTCGAGAGCGTTCCTTAACTTATGATGAACAATGGATGAAACAGTCATTCCCACATCGCTCTCTGATAACGTACCCCGGACAAAGACACGAAAACATAAACAAATGAAATAAATACATCTTTTACAATAATCAAAATATTCATAACTCAAAACTTCTATATATAAGTAATATAATACCAATCCCCAAATTTTTAAATACAACCGAATTATGAAACACAATAGGAATATTATACAAGTGAAGTGCTGGCCTTAAAGGGGTCGTTTTTCTGGTCAATACAACTACTGTATTGTTTTAGCTGTCAAGAATCTAAAACCCCACCCCGTTGCCCACTGCTGAGCGGCGTCAAGAGTTACTAGCACTCGGGCCTCAGCGCTCGTTATGCATTAGGGCCAGAACGTCACAAAGCACAATCGTCAGCAAACATTGAGATCTTAATTCCTTGCGGCACGGGGCTGGTGATAGAAAATCGTTCATTATAATTAAAAACAAACCATGATCGTGGACGCTGTCTTGGGGTACTCAATTTTCTACGACAAATGTGTCCGACTTTACGTTAGGTTTTGTAAATTTGACAACAAATTTCCTGTCGTGATTTCCATGTCATAGGCATTTTGTTCATCTAGAGACACAGTAAGAAGACTAAGGTCTCTACCCCATCTCTATGTAATGAGCCTGGTCGTTCCCCTTCCTTCTACGAGAGAAGGGGATGGGTTTTGATAGCCCTCCCTGGGGCTAAACATAGGGTGGTGCGACACAAACCCTTATTATTAGAAAAACACCTAAAGAAAACAAAACAGAAATTTGTCATTATTCAACAATATCGTCCAAAAGCCGGCTAACAGACCTTTTCCGGGGCTGTTGCCTCCCTAAGACTCAGATATTTAATTGAAAAAAAGTAAATTAAGAACAATGCCAAATATTGTGTTCTCGTGTTGTACCAGGCAACAATTATAGCTGATGGGTAGTACCGTATCCTTGTTAGTTATGGTCTGGGTGCTTGTTTGCTCACCTCCAAAGTGAGTCGGAGCTTCGACATGTTGGTGAATAAAATTGTCTCTCAGAGTTTCTACAATGTTATTTGTAGGGTTATTAAGGTCGTTCTGTGTATTTTCATTGTTCTGCCAGTCGGTGTCGCCATAATCAAAGTTCCCCTTCACCAGGACGTGGCGAGAGTTGAGCGCCGTTTTCTCTAATGATGATTTCAAACTCCCATTGTTCAATTAGCTACAATTTGATGATGTGTAAATATTATTACTCATTTTATTTATTTCCTTTATAAAATAATTATATGGTTATAGGTCGATTTTTAAAACTAATTCCCATATCTGCCCTATGACCTCCTACAGGTCCCCAGCCGCCACCAACACGTCTTCCCCCCTGATCAGATATCCCTCCTCCTAGAGACAGGCCTGGCACTAGGGACCTGCCACGCTTTGACACACACACATGAATTGTAGCGGGAATTTTACCCCCACACACTCATCACTATCTATTTTTTTTTACAGGGATTAGCCCACATAAGGGCACAGGTCACTGACCCAAATCGGGGCCTGGGGAGCCAAAAGGTAATAATAATAATAATAATAATAATAATAATTCATAGTAAATAAAATTTATTATACAAAATTGAAAATAAAATAATAATGATAATAATAACAACACTGTAATAATAATAATAATAATAATAATAATAATAATAATAATAATAATAATAATACAGAACCACAAAGAAATACGAAAATGAAAAAAAAAAGATCAAAAGTGAGAAACAATATATGTATGTTGTGTTGTCAATGGTAAGAAAACAATTGAGACCCTGCAATTGTGTGTAAATGAGGCAGAAAGTCAGATGAGCAACCTGGGACTTGGTCACAGATGGCACCAGGGTCTACCATTAGACAACACATTATGCTTCTAATATCTTCCCAGGCTACCTACCTTTATGTAACTTGCAGCCTTTCAGGCTTTTACGCCCTTAATGCATGAAACGTGAAGGCAAGAATGAACTACGCATGCTTCCCAGCTGGGCGCTGTAAACGCGTTTGTCCTTTACTTGCACAAGATGTAATGGGGTGCCCAATAAACTAGCCCCACTCGCCGGGCAAATTCTAAAAATTCAACAACTAACATACACGTAACGACCACTTTATCATATGCACAAGAAAACCGCTGTAACGCCTCTTAACGACAGTCCTCATCTACAGGGACGCTGGTGTCCGGGTTTGCAGTGTTGTGTGGGTACCCTACACACTACGACACCAAGCGGGAGGGTGTGTGTTGGAACATAGTGGCCGCGGTGCTCCAAGTCATTCTCACACCCATTATCGTCGGCCTCATATGGTCGGTCCAGCGGGGGGTCATCATCGTGCAGGAGTCTCGTGAGTACCTGTAGAGTACCTTTGTAATACTTTTGGAGTAACTCGGAGGTACCTGTGTCTTCCTTTCCCACTGAACTCAGCCAAACTTCACACATCTCATTAATCAGTTAGTACAATAATTTTCTTGGTCTTTTCCTATTACGTTGGATCCAGTTGACTTGTTAATTAATATTGACAATAATTTTGACAATGAAGACTTCCGGCAGGAGGAAGCTATGAAGAGCAATAGTAACACAAAAGGTAGCAACTTTCTTTTTTTTTTCCTTTCACAGTACAAAAGAAGATTGACGAACGAGACGAGAAGGCTGAAGAAATCGCGTAGGACCTAACTATCAACCTGAGGGATTGGTAGGGAGGGCTGTAGGACACACGGCTTCACAGGAGTTTCAGAAATCTCAGTATAAACACAGATCACACTTATAATAACAGGAACATAACTCACATTATAATACATCCGCTTCAGTATCGTCTCAGATACATACACTATATACAACGCCAAGTCTACAGTACACACCACAAATACACAGTATACACACACACACACACACACACACACACATGCCCAGTGATTTAGGAACTAAGGAAGTGAGTGAGTACGAATGATTCAGCATTTAGATGGTGAGCCCAGAATGAAATCTTTATATTAGGTGAACATCTATTTACACAGTATTTTAAAGAGATAAATTACTGATGCGTAACAGAGAGTATTAATAAGAGTCATAATTCTTTGTATGTTAGAGCAGTTTTTGTATATAACATTTGTATGTCTCGTATATATAACTGTTTGTATATAGCTGTTTATAAAGTCCCTTGACGTTTGTGTTTAAAGATTCTGTTGACAAAGTTACATACCCAAAACATCGGTACTTCATCAATTTCTGTAGAAAATATTTACTTCACTATGACATATTTCTCCTGTAAGTCTAAGTTACAGCGTACATGGTAAAGAATACAAAAAACTGTCGAAAACAAAGGGGTCCTGATACTTTGGGAGTGTAAAGTCCTCAGGAGCCTGTAAACATATACACCAAGGGACTTTATAAACACCTCGTAGACCCAACAGTACAGACGCCGCCTGTGTGCAGCGACGTGATGCAAGTAATTAATTACCTTATTTTAATATTTATCTATTCTATTCCGGTTACACGATTCAGGTGTTTTTAATTAAACCCATTGTAGTTACTTAAAATGGATCTGTGTGTGTGTGTGTGTGTGTCTTCGTATGTTTTACAAAGGTAAACTTATCTCATTGTTCTAGTTAGTTATGAAATCATTTGTTCGTCTGTTCAGTCGTATCAATATTCTCACATCTTTTTCCAAATATATTTCACCAAGTTGTCTAAGTATTACGTCCATGTTTTTTTTTATTTGTATTTCGTAGATACAGAAATTTAAAATCTATTTTTTTATCAAGTTAAATAAGATCTCTCGGCTTGTCCTTCTGTGGGTAGCTAACGTAGGCTGCACTTTTTAACAACTCTTAATGTTATAACTTCATCTCGTAAGTATAAGTAACTTCAACCACGTCTTTACTTTTAAATAACTACAGTATATTGTTCCTTAATATAAGTTCTTATCGTTTTCAAACTTTATCTTTTTCACGAAATTAGAAATTACTGATTGTATTGGTGTCTTTCTCCTCCCACGTGTCTCTTCTGACAATAATAACCACAGCGTTGAACTTGTGATGAAAAACTCTCTTTATATGTATATATCTAAATGACTGAAGGATTGGAACCGCCTCGAGACGAACAATGTAGGGGAGTTTATCACGAACACGATGGCTTAACCATTTAATTTTCAGACAAATTAATTCTAACCTAATCAAATCAATTAAGCTTAGCCTAACGAAACAACCAAACCTATATAGGCTTAACCTAACCTAACCAAATTAGATACAATCATAGAAAACATAAAACGTGACTTATCCTAATGTACTTTTAGGTCAGGTTCGACTAGCTTGAGTTGTTAGGGTAGATTAGGTTAAGTTGTTAGGTTAGGTTAAGTTATTAGTTTACAAAATTAGACTAGATAAAGTGCATCTGAAAATTTATAACCAGTTTAGTGGACTTCCTCGGGGCTCTTCCTTAGTGAACACAGCAATAATGGTGTCTTATGCAGAGGAACTTATCAAACAGTCATTATACAAAATTTCAGTCAGTCGTAAACCTCTCTACTTATCCAATAATGTGTATGTTTGAAATCCATTTTAGGAATGTTCTTAAGACTTCTTATAATACATTTTTAATTTCGTTTGATATAATTATTTGTTCTTGTAATAATATGCTTTATATGTGAACGAATAAAAGCACAAAATAAATTGTGTACTCTTAATGTGAGTTTTATTATCCTGCACTATTATCATCAGTAGTAGTAATACTGTGTTATTATTGAGTTACAAATATTCTAAAGTTTGATGTGAGACTCTTGTGGCAGCCATGACTATAGTTGAGTTGCCATTTCATAATATAATTCTTCATTTCTAAGCAAATTACGAACATTTGGAAAATTGTGATGATCTTAAATAACGATGAATAGTTTATTATCAAAAATACTTTGGATTGTTTAATATTTATCCTGACAGTGATACAGCCACAGTGCGAGAGCCAGGGTGAGGTCAACGCAACTTTGATTGACCAAATAATCCATCCATTAGTGAGCCTTGGGCCACATAGTCGGTTACCGCTTCAGGACAGACAGTACTGTAAGTGTTGTAATGCGTTGATAAGTCTGTTCAGTCAGGCGTTGGATGATGGCGTCCCTCAGAATTTTCTCAGAACTCGAATATATGTGATGTTAGGCTGATCGGCCTGTAGTTTTCTGCTGCACTTAACCTACCCTTGAGTGCTGTAGTGACGTTAGCTCCCGAGGTGCTTTACCTTGATGGAAGGATTTCCTGAATAGGAGTTTTAATGGAGTGAAAATCTCGTTTGTCACCTTTATTACCTTGGTCTGTGCTCCGCCCACTCCAAGGCCTTTGAATTTTTTAAAGTTGGCTACTTTCCTTTGATGATATCATCTGTAATTGTTATCTCTCTTAATCTGTCGCTCATTTCTGTACGACAATATCCATGAAGAAGAAATAACCCGCACGCAAAAAAAAAAAAAATTGTCTTCCACAAAAAGTTGAATTTAATGAAATGCACACTATGGGAGTTGCTGAAGCGCAGTACGGTACAGTAATATAACATGAATCATCCAGTAAGCTGGGGACCTTTTTTTTGTGTTAAGGTCTGAAAATTTACAGATGATAATTTCATATCCCTCGCTACCGAGATCACATTTCCTGCTGGGTGAGACACACACACACACAGAGCTGTGAAAAGGTCAATCTGCCGAGTATGTAGAGCACGTCAATCCTGGATTTCCTCAACCATTGGCCATGAGAGTTCTTCACCTAACCTCATGAGTGATAATTGTTGTTACCACGTCCGGCAGGCGGGATGTCTCCTGCTTGCCTCGAGCCCCCTCAGGGTTATTCCTCAGACTCAACTCCAGGGAAATATTCTTTTGTTCAGCTGATTCATTGGCCTTAAGGTCTAGCCTAACCTAACCTAACGTAACCTGTCTAACCTAACCCAACTGCTGTGAGTGAGAGTTCAATGGTTGGTTGTAAATTCGCAACGTGAACGTCTTTTGTTTGTGACGTTATTTTCTCCCAAGCCGGGTGACGCCAGTATTGGGCTGGCAGTCATAAGTTAAGTGTCTCCTTTCTTATTGTACAATATATTGCTAGTGGTATAACGTGTGAACCTTGCTCGACTTTAAGAACACAAAGTATTATATGTGAGATTGTTGTTAGTCATGTTTTAGAATTCCACGGAAAATAACTTACTTATTTATGAGGTTTCGTGTGGTGGATAACCACGTTATTCATGGTAGTTGCTAAACTAAATAAGTGTTTAGTCTTTACTTTTATGTTCATTATTTTGTCACTCGGTTGAGTCACTTATTTGATCAGATTTAGTTTGTATTTGTTTATTTTTGTACATACTGATACATTTGTTTTATTGTTTGTTTGTTAATATATTCTGTAATTAAATCTACTTCATGTATTTCAATATACCCCATAGTAATGAGGTGATGATTTTGGTGGGATCTATTCCTTGGACCTGTAATACAAAGAGAAGTTGAATTTGTGAATTGTTACAAACTAAGAGGCCAAGGGTCGTAACATAACACTAACCTAACCTAGCCAGTCTAACCATATCACACTTAATCTAACCTAACCAGTGTAACCTAACCTAACCTAACCTAACTTTACATAACCAACCCCCGAAGTTTTGGTAATGGAAGTTCGGATTCTGTTTCTAATACACAGCTCACCGTTACTACAGATAGGTTAGGTTAAGTTAGGTTAGGTATTAAATCATCGAACCAATGAACCGTAACCTACCACTACTCAGCATTACATTAGGCTACTTCACCAAACTCAGTAACCAACTATTTAGGGATCAGTATTACCAAGTTTCTTTAGTTTTAGTTTTTAATGTTTCAGGAATATCTACGTTAGAGAGAACCTTTTAGATTAGTCTGATGGATCAATATGAATGAGAGTTCTTCCTACAATCAGCCCCTGACGTCACAACAAGGTATTGGCCGCCGTCACGCCTCAATATCCTTATAATCTGAGCCATTGATCGCTATCCCCGCACTGTCTGGCGTGTCACCTGCAGTCTTGTTTCTATAAATTAGCCTGATCTAACTCCCTGCCTTCCAGTTTACTACATGGTATTTGTCACTTCAGTCTCACTTCAACCCTATTTACAAGCACTGGTTATGGTCGTGTCCGTGGTATTTAATATAACATTGAAGTATTTGCATATTTTGCATATGCAAAGGAACTATCGACAACGTGTTATCCATGATGGTATACAGTATATTACATAATGTATATGTTATCAGTTAGTGGTACAGTACCGCGGCAATGGGCGCATCACTTATCACTATATCGAGTCCTGCCTGGCCGGGACACACGTAGGAAGGGTGTTATCCTGTGTGAACCTACCTAACATCACAGGTTTCCTCCGGGTACGCCAGTTTCCTCCTGTATTAACACTGGACAATAAATTTCATAACAAAATAAGAAAGCAGACCAACCACCTGAACGGCTGGTAACTGGTGTAATGATAAATTAAATTAAAATTCAAACACTAAAATACTTCACGTGGGCATCAGGAACATAATGGTATTAACAATTGTCAATGATGGCACCAAAATGAAGCAGGATGGATAAGTTAAGCGGAATTCATTACCGTCCAATAACTTTGTTTCTCTCTGACGTCTCTCGTACCCGGGAAACGACGCGCATATCCCACGCACGGTGGCTGACGGAACAGTATATAATAAGAGGGTGACCGTGAGCCCTTCAGGTAGGATACAGGCAGCTGTGGCTTGGTGTACATCAGTAGCTGGACGATAACCTTACACTAACACTCGAGTACATTACAGTGTGTGTGAAGTGGTTCTCGAGGTACACAATGTCACCCAGTAAGATTACGCTAAAGTTGAGGCGTTTTTCTCACCCGATTCTTACGAACGAGAAAAACAGCAAAGCTCAAGTTATCTTCGAGAAAATAAAATGTTTCGACATGAAAAACTCAGAGGATCCCACAGTAGTGAGGAGCGAGGAGTGTACGGAGGAGCGTCAACACTCATGTTCACCTCCAGTCTTGGACGACTGCTGGCGTTGTATTGCTGTCAGCGAGCATCACCTACCCGACAGCATCACGTTCTCAGGCAAGAGACTTGGAGCTAACTTGGGTCTCGACGCTGTGGAAAGATTGGTTGACTGGTGCCAACAGCGGCGAAGAAACAGCTACTCTCCCCACAGTAGCCATGACCTAAACCACACACAGTCACCCGGTCACCGATGCCTCACCATCGCAAGTCTTCCCTTGTTGAAATCGTCGTCGGAGCACACAACTGTCTCCGTATTGTTGGAGTCCAGTGATTCTTCCCTCGAGTCTCGTAACAGTCCAAGGAGGCGGTTCCAGTTCTGGCGGACGTGGTCTTTTTTCCCAATGACTTGTAAGAAGGAGGCGGCGAGGGAAATGGAGGAGACGAGAGCGAGGAAAGAAAAAACCCAACGTAGACTCCTGAGGCCGCCCACCCGCCACTACTACCGGCGGGGGATCTCCGGCCTCCCAATTCACTGCTCACTAGACCACCCTGGACTAACCTTCTAAATGTCGGTCACACAGTGATAAATGTTTGCCACACAAATCGAACTGTAAATAATACAGAGGAACGCAGTATTGTTAAATCTGAAGCTAGGGGTGCTGGTCGCCCGCTACTAACACTCACTTGTTCCTCAAGTACTATACAGTACTGAGAATCTTGTATACGCCAGAGTCGAAATTGTGAACCAAACCATGATGTGTAAAACAGCTGGACACATCAATGGTGTGACAAGGCACATTTATCCCTGTGTGTGTGTCGGCGACAGACCTCAGTTGTCTAGCTCAAGTTTGTTAGCACGAGACAAGTACTATAGGCTATCAATTTATGTTATACATTCAAATGCCTTATTAGTTTTTGGTGTTCACATTAATGGTGATCAAAATTCATATTGACGTGTTAGTCATATTCAAACCTGCTTTGTATCTAATTACTGGCTGATGAAAAAGTATATTAGCCCGATCTTTTAACATCCAACATGTTTCTTAAACTGTACTGCGCTTCAAACACTTAAGTCTTTAAGCTTGTATTTTAGACTAATAACTTACAGTACAAGGTTCGATTTCATGTTAATAACTGCTGCTATGCAGTTGTGTTTATAATTATAAACTATTATTAAAAAAGTTCACGGTATAAGTTTATGTTTCATGAACCTGGATCATAAACCAACATACACTTACTTACATCAAACATATACTGTACTAATTAATTATCAACAAGTAAAAAAGTATGATAAATTAACTGCAGATTTTATTCGCGTTCTCAGCGTTTGTCAAGTCGATAAAGCGCGCAAGTCGTCAGTCATTGAAGAATAGTTACTATATGTGTATTTACTAACATAGAATAAGCTCTTAAACCACTACTTATTGAAGAGCAGTAAAACATAACACATATCTAAGACATTTATGAAGTTATGAATCATCCTGTGGTGAAGATCTAACTCGTATATATTCTTGTACTTTTATACACAATTATCACTCGTCACTACAATAGAACAAGCGTGAGAACGGTCTCTCATTGCATATGAAAAAAAATAGCAATTGACAATAATACTAAACACTTAAAATTTATCCTGCATAGCATTAATTAGTTATAAATACTACACTTAACAACGAGTTATCAGGATAAATTTTTCTTCCTTGTCGGATTAATAA